ATTTTATTTGTATCAAGATACTTTTTGATTACTCTTTTAATTTCTGCTTTGATCCATTGTTTGTTTGGGAATATGTTGTTTAATTTCCATGTATTTGTGAGTTTTCCAGTTTTCCTGATATCTAGTTCCACACCATTGTGGTCAGTGAAGAAACTTGGAATGTTTTCAATTTTCTTAAATTTGCTAAGACTCAGGACACCTGAGTGGCTCAGTCAGTTAAGCGTCCAACTCTTGATATCAGCTCAGGTCGTGATCTTATGGTGGTGGGATAGAGCCCTGCGTTGGGCTCCACACTGAGCATGGAAACTGCTTGGGATTCTCTCTCTCTGCCCATCCCCCACTCATGAGCACACTCTCTCTCTTTCTTTCTCTTTCTCTCACAATAAATAAATAAACATTTTCAAAATCTGCTAAGACTTGTTTTGTGGCTCAACATTTGATTTATCCTGGAAAATACTCCATGTGTGCTTGAGAAGAATATGTATTCTGTTGTTGTGGTGGTGGTGGTTGTTTTTGTCAGATGGATTGGGTTTTAGATGTCTGGTAAATCCATTTGTCCTATGGTGTTGTTCAAATACACTGTTTCCTGTGGCGCCTGGGTGGCTCAGTCGGTTGAGCGTCTGACTTCACCTCAGGTCACGATCTCACGGTCCATGAGTTCGAGCCCCCAGGCTCTGGGCTGATGGCTCAGAGCCTGGAGCCTTCCGATTCTGTGTCTCCCTCTCTCTCTGCCCCTCCCCTGTTCATGCTCTGTCTCAAAATTAAACAAATGTTAAAAAAAAATTTTTTTTTTAAATACACTGTTTCCTTATTGATTTTCTGTCTGGCTGACCTACCCATTGTTGAGAGTAGAGTATTAAAGTCCTTAACTATTGGGGCAACTGGCTTGGCTCAGTCAGTGGAACGTGCAACACTTGATCTCAGGGTTGTGAGTTCAAGCCCCATGTTGGGTTCAGAGGTTACTTACAAATGAATTTTTTAAATAAAAAAAAGTAAAGTCCTCAACTATTATTATATTATTGTGTATTTCTCTTTTCAGTTCTGTTAGTATTTGCTTTATATTTTTAGATACTCTGATAATAAACACATAAAAAGTAGCAGTTTTATGTCTTCTTAGTGGATTGACCCTTTTATCATTATATAATGACTTTTGGTCTCTTTTGACCATTTTTTGCTTAAAGTCTATTTTTACTTGCATAAGAATAGCTCCCTTGCTTTCTTTTGTTTACCACTTGCTTGAATTATCTTTCTGTATCCCTTTACTCTTAGTCTATGTGCACCTTTAGAGCTAAAGTGGATGTCTTATAGGCAAAATATCATCATGTTTGATGATGTTTATTTTACATGTTTATAAACATGTTGAATCATGTTTATTTTTTTAACAATTCAGCCATTATGTCTTTTGATGGGATAATTTAATTCATTATTTTTAAAGTAATTATTGGTAGGTAAGTTCTTACTATTGTCATTTTGTGGGTTTTGATTTGTTTTGCAGTACCATTGTTCCTTGTTTTTTTCTTATTGAGGTATAATTAACATATAACATTATATTAGTTTCAGATGTACAACATAATGATTTGATATTTGTGTACACTGCCAAATAATCACCACAAGTCTAGTATCTTCTTGTCACCATATAAAGTTACATAATATGCAATTCAATATTATTGGCTGTAGTTACCATACTGTACATTACATCCTCTTGATTTATTTTATAACTAGAAATTTATACGTCTGGACCACTTTCTCCCATTTTGCCCACCCCCTCACATCTCCTCCCCACTGACAACCACATCTGTTCTCTGCATCTATGAATTTTGTTTGTTTTGTTTTTTTAAGTTTTTATTTTAAATTCCAGTTAGTTAACATATAGTGTAATAGTAGTTTCAGGTATACAATGTAGTGATTCAACACTTCCATTGAACACCCAGTGGTCATCACAACAAGTACACTTCTTAATCCCCATCACCTATTTAACCCATCTCCCCCACTATCTCCCTCTGGTAACCATTAGTTTGCTGTCTATAGTTAAGAGCCTATTTCACACCACATGGGTGGCTCAGTCAGTTGGGCATCCGACTCTTGATTTCAGCTCAGGTCATGGTCCTGGGATTGTAGGATTGAGCCCCACGTTCAGCTCTACACTGAGCGTGGAGCCTGCTTGAGATTCTCTCTCTGTCTCTGTCCGTTTCCCCTGCTTGCATGTGCTCTCTAAAATAAATTTAAATTTTTTTTAAATAGTCTATTTCTTGGTTTGTCTCTCTCTTTTCCCCCATGCTCATTTGTTTTCTTTCTTAAATTCCACATATGAATGAAATCATATGGTATTTGTCTTTCTCTGACTTTTTTCCCTTAGCATTATACTCCCTAGCTCCATCCATGTCATTGCAAATGGCAAGATTTTATCTTTTTGATGACTGAGTAATATTCCATATTACTCCATATTACATATACATGTATATGTATATATACATATATATACCACATCTTCTTTGTCCATTCATCAGTCAATGGACACTTAGGCTGTTTCCATAATTTAGCTATTATAGATAAAGCTGCTATAAACACCAGGGTGCATATATCCCTTTGAATAAGCATTTTTGTATTCTTTGGGTAAATATCTAGTAGTGCAATTGCTAGATCATAAGATAGTTCTATTTTTAACTCTTTGAGGAAACTTTATTCTGTTTTCCAGAGTGGCTGCACCAGTTTGCATTCCCACCAGCAGTGCAAAAGTGTTCCCCTTTCTTGCATTCTTGCCAACACCTGTTGTTTTTTGTGTTGTTGATTTTAGCCATTCTGACAAATGTGAGGCAATATTCATTGCAGTTTTGATTTGTACTTCCCTGATGATGAGTGATGTTGAGCATCTTTTCATGTGTCTGTTGTCCATCTGTGTGTCTTCTTTAGAAAAATCTACTTGTATAATTTGCCCATTTTTAATTGGATTATTCATTTTTGGGGTGTTAAGTTTGAGAAGTTCTTTGCATATTTTGGATATGAACTTTTTATGAGATATGTCATTTGCAAATATCTTCTCCCATCCTATAGTTTGCCTTTTAGCTTTGTTGATTGTTTCCTTCACTGTGCAGAAGTTTTTATTTTGATGAAGCCCCAATAGTTTATTTTTGCTTTTGTTTCCCCTGCCTCAGTAGACATATCTAAAAAGAAGTTGTTGTGGCCAATGTTAAAAACATTACTGCCTGTGTTCGTCTCTAGGATTTTTATGATTTCAGGTCTCGCATTTAGGTCTTTAATCCATCTTGAAATTGTTTTTGTGTATGGTGTAAGAAAGTGGCCCAGTTTCATTCTTTTGCATATTTCTGTCCACTTTTCCTTAAATTATTTGTTAAAGAGACTTTTTCCCATTGGATATTCTTTTCTGTTTTGTTGAAAATTAGCTGGCCATATAAATGTGGGTTCGTTTCTGGGCTTTCTATTCCGTTCCATTGATCTATGTGTCTGTTTTTGTGACAGGACCTTACTGTTTTGTTCACTACTATAACTTGAAGTCTGGAATTGTGATGCTTCCAGCTTTGCTTTGCTTTTTCTAGGTTGCTTTGGCTATTCGAAGTCTTTTGTAATTCTATACAAATTTTAGGATTGCTTATTCTAGCTCCATGAAAATGCTGTTGGTATTTGATAGGAATTGCATTACATGTATAGATTGCTTTGGGTAGTATAGGCATTTTAACAACATTTGTTCTCCCAACACTTGAGCATGGGATATTTTTCCATTTCTTGGCATCATCTTGAATTTCTTTCATGAATGTTTATAGTTTTCAGAATACAGGTCTTTTGCCTGTTTAGCTAGGTATTTATTCCTAGGTATCTAATTGGTTTGGGTACAATTATAAATGGGATTGATTCCTTAATTTCTCTTTCTGCTGCTTCATTATTGGTGTGTAGAAATGCAACAGGTTTCTGTATGTTGATTTTGTATCTTGCACCTTTACTGAACTTGTATATCACTTCTAACAGTTCTTTGGGGTTTTCTATATAGAGTATCATGTCATCTGCAAATAGTTTTACTTCTTCCTTGCCAATACGGATGCCTTTTTTTCTCTTTATGTTGTCTGATTGCTGTGGCTATGACTTCTAGTACTATGTTGAATACAGTGGTGAGAGTGGACATCCTTATCTCCTTTCTGACCATAGAAGAAAAGCTCTCAGTTTTTCCCCATTGAGGATGATATTCGCTGTGGGTTTTTCATATATGGTCTTCATTATGTTGAGGTATATTCCTTCTAAACCTACTTTGTTGATGGTTTCTATCATGAATGGATGTTACATTTTGTTATATACTTTTTCTGCATCTATTGAAATGATTATAATGTTCTTACCCTTTCATTTATTAATGTGTTGTATCACACTGATTGCCTTGTGAATATTGAATCACTGTTGCATCTCAAGAATAAATCCCACTTGATGGTGGTGAATGATTTTTTAAATGTATTGTTGGGGGACATCTGAGTGGCTCAATCAGTTGAGCATCTGACTCTTGGTTTTGGCTTGGGTCATGATCTCACATTTCATGACTTCATGCCCCATATTGGGCTCTGTGCTGACAGTGCAAAACCTGCTTGGGATTCTCTCTCTCTCTCTCTCTCTCTCTCTCTCTCTCTTCTCCTCCATTGCTCATGTTCTCTCTCCCTCTCTCCCTCTTTCTCTCAAACTAAATAAACTTTAAAAATAAACAAACAAGTTGTTGGAATCAGTATGCTCGTACTTTATTTAGAATTTTTTTTTACCAATGTTTATCAGGGATATTGGCTTGTAGTTCTTTTTGCTGTTGTTGTTCTTTTGTTTTTATTCAATAATCATGAACTTAACTCTGCAATCCAGCTAGACTTGGAAGGGAATAAGGAAAATATGGAACCCATAGAACTGCAGTGAGAGCACAAAGATTATAGGATATTTCAAGCAGATGGGGACAAAAGGGTGCCCTCTTGAGGTACAGGAGTGGTCTGGAAGTTAAGATAAAACACAAGTCAAATTTATTAGATTTGTGCACAGTTAGCAATAGTTATCTTTTTGCTGGTCTTGCCATTCCTGGGCCCAAAGTGCTCCATGGCTTCCACAATATTCATGCACTCTTTCACCTTGCCAAAGACCACATGCTTGCCATCCAACCACTAGGTCTTGGCAGTGCAGATGAAAAACTGGAAACCATTTGTGTTAGGTCCAGCATTTGCCATGGACAAGATGCCAGGACTTGTATGCTTCAGAATGAAATTCTTATCATCAGATTTCTCCCCATAGACGGACTTGCCAGCAATGCCATTATGGCACGTGAAGGTACCACCCTGGCACATAAATGCTGGAATAATCCTATGAAAGCAGGAACCTTTATAACCAATATTTTCTCCCCAGTGCTTACAGTACAAAAGTTTTCTGCTGTCTTTGGACCTTTGTCTGCAAACAGCTCAAAGGAGACACGGACCAAGTGCTCACTGTCTACAGCAATGTTGAAGAACAGTGAGGTTGACCATAGCTGGGAACCGCAGGTGGCTCCAGGGTGGCAGTGTCTGCAAGGCCTGTAGTTCTCTTTTCTAGTGGATTCTTTATCTGATTTTGATATGAGGCTAATGTGGCATCATAAAATGAGTTTGGAAGTTTTCCTTCCTTTTCTATTATTTTGGAAAGTTCGAGAAGAAAGGTATTAACTCTTCTTTAAATGTTTGGTAGAATTCCCCTGTGAAGCCATCTGGCCCTGTACTTTTGTTTGTTGGGAGATGTTTTGATTACTGATTCAGTTTCTTTGCTGGTTATCAGTCTGTTCAAGTTTTCTATTTCTTCCTGTTTCAATATTGGTCATTTGTATGTTTCTAGGAATTCATCCATTTCTTCTAGATTGTCCAATTTGTTGGCATATAGTTTTTCATAATATTCCCTCACAATTGTTTGTATTTCTGTGGTGTTGGTTGTTATTTCTCTTCTCTCACTTGTGATTTTATTTATTTGGGTCCTTTCTCTTTTCCTTTTGATAAGTGTGGCTAAGGGTTTATCAACTATTAATTTTTTCAAAGAACCATCTCCTGATTTCATTGATCTGTTCTATTGGTTTTTTTGTTTGTTTGTTCTATATCATTTATTTTTGCTCTAATCTTTATTATTTCCTTCCTTCTGCTAGCTATAGGCTTCATTTGTTATTCTTTTTTTTTTTTTTTCTAGCTCCTTTGGGTGTAAAGTTAGGTTGTTTATATGAGATTTTTCTTGCTTCTTAACGTAGGCCCGTATTGCTATTTACTTCTCTCTTTAGCTGCATCCCAAAGGAGTTAGACTGTGCTGTTTTCATTTTCATTTATTTCCATGGTTTTTTTAAAATTTCTTCTTTGATTTCCTGGTTGACCCATTCATTGTTTAGTAGCATGTTGTTTAACCTCCATGTCTTTGTGGTCTTTCCAAATTTTTCGTCTTGCTGACTTCAAGTTTCATAGTGTTTTGGTATCTTTTTGTTTGTTGAGGTCTGATTGGTGACCTAGTATGTGATATATTTTGGAGAGTGTTCCATGTGCACTTGAAAAGAATGTGTATTCTGCTGTTTTAGGGTAGAATGTTCTCAATATATCTGTTAAGTCCATCTGGTCCAGTGTATCATTGAATGTTATTGTTTATTGATTTTCTGTTTAGATGATCTGTCTGTCCATTGCTATAAGTGGGGTGTTAAACTCCCCTACTATTATTGTATTATTATCAATTAGTTCCTTTATGTTTGTTCTAATTGTTTGTTTTATATTTGAGTGCCTTATTGTTAGGTGTATAAATATTTATAATTGTTAAATCTTCTTGTTTATTATCATCTATTGTTACAGTTTTTGTTTTAAAGTCTAGTTCATCTGATATAAGTATTGCTACTCTGGCTTTCTTTGGACATCCATTTTTATGATTAATGTTTCTCCATTCCCTGACTTTCGATTTGCAGGTGTCTTTAGGTCTAAAATGAATCTCTTTTAGCAGCATATAAATGGCCCTTGGTTGGTTTTTTTTTTTATCTGTTCTGATACCATATGTCTTTGAATGTTTAGTCCATTTAGAATCAAAATAATTATTGATAAATATACATTTAGTGCATTTTATTACTTGTTTTGTCATTGTTTCTTGAGATTTTTCTCTGATCCTTTCTTGTCTTTCTCACTTTTGGTCTTTCCTTTCCACTCAGAATCCCCTTTAATATTTCTTGCAGAGCTGGTGTAGTGGTCACAAGCTCCTTTAGTTTTTGTTTGTCTAGGAAACTATCTCTCCTTCTATTCTGAATGATAGCCTTGCTGGATAGAATATTCTTGGCTAGAGATTTTTCTTATGCATATCATGCCACTCCCTTCTGACCTGCCAACTTTCTGTTGAGAAATCTACAGCTAGCATTATGGGTTCTCCCTTGTACGTTAAGGAATTCTTTTGTCTTGCTGCTTTTGAGATTTTTTTCATTATCACTATATTTTGCAAATTTAATTACAATATCTTGACCATGGATGTTATAGGAGTTCTATGTGCCTCCTGGATCTGGATGTCTGTTTCCTTTCCTACATTAGGGAAGTTTTTAACTAATAGTTAAATTTTGTTGCCTCTTTTTCTCTCTTCTTCTGGGACTCCTATAATAATCCTATAAATGTAATGTGATTACATTAGATGGAGTCACTAAGTTCTCTAAGTCTATTCTTGTGTTCCATAATTATTCTTTCTCTCTTTTGTTCAGTTTCATTATTTTCTATTATTTTGTCTTCTATGTTACTTTTTTGTTCCTTTGCTTCTTAGAGTCTGCTGTTCATTGCATCAAGCCTGTTTCCAATCTCAGTTATTGTATTCTTCATTTTTGACTGATTCTTTTTTAACTTTTATCTCTGTGGTAAGGGTCTCCCTGACGTCTTCTATTCTTTTCTTAAGCCCAGCAAGTATCCTTCTGATTGTTGCTTTAAATTCTCCATCAGGCATGCCACTTATATCGGTTTTGCTTAGATCTCTGGCCATGGCCTTATCTTGTTCTTCCATTTGGGATGAATTCCTCTGTTTTGACATTTTGTCTAAGTCTCTGCCTTCTTCTCTGTGTTAGAAAAGCCCATTGTGTTTCCTGCTCCTGAAGTAATGGCCTTTTGAAGAAGAGATTGTATAGTGTCCAGGGCCTGGCTCTTCCCGGATTGTCTCTGGTGTGTGCTCTGTGCACCCTGGTGTTGTGTTTTGGCTGCTCTGTCCCTCAGGTCAGTCTCCTTCAGGGGCTCTCTTTGCCTGCAGTGGGCAGTGCTTGGTCCTTGGCCAGAATGTGGCAAGTTTTAACTAGGTGTGCTCTGGTTTGCTTGTTAAATGAGACCTGATACTACTTCAACTGAACTGAGGCTTTGCACAACTCTCTGGTTAGGAGATGTGGTTTGGGCAGCAGTTCCTGCTATTCTTCTGGATGCCTTTTATTCTTTTTTTCTTATCTAATTGCTGTAGCTAGAACTTTATTTGTTCTTCTTTTTCTAGCTCCTTTAAATGTAAAGTTAAACTGTTTATTTGAGATTTTTTTTGTTCTTGAGGTGGGACCTTTATTGCTACAAAATTCCTTCTTACAACTGTTTTTGCTGCATCCCATACAGTTTGGAGTGTTGTGTTTTCATTTTCATTTGCCCCAAAGTACTTTTTATTTCCTGGTTGATTTCTTCATTGACTCATTGGTTCTTTGGAAGCATGTTGTTTGGTCTTCACATATTGGTGTTATTTTCCACTTTTCTTCTTGTAGTTGATTTCTAGTTTCATGCACTGTGGTTGAAAAAGATGCTTGATATAATTTTAATCTTCTTAATTTACTCTTCTTAAATTTATTGACACTGTTTTGTTGCCTAATATGTGATTTATCCTGGAGAATGTCCCATGTGCACTTGAGAAGAATGTGTATTCTACTGTTCCTAGAAGGACTTTTCTCTGGGAGAGATTAAGTCTATTTGTTCTAATGTGTTGTTTGAGGTTAATGTTTCCTTATTAATCTTCTATTTATTTATTTATTTATTTATTTATTTATTTATTTACCTGTTTTATTTTTTATTTTTTTAAATTTACATCCAAATTAGTTAGCATATAGTTCAACAATGATTTCAGGAGTAGATTCCTTAGTGCCCCTTACCCATTTAGCCCACTTAGCCCATCCCCCCTCCCACAACCCCAACCTTATTAATCTTCTGTCTGGATGATCCATCCATTGATGTTCTCTCTCAATCCATTGTACTCTTCTATCCATTGATGTTCTCAAGGTTAATGTTTCCTTATTAATCTTCTGTTTGGATGATCCATCCATTGATGTGAGTAGGGTTTTAAAGTTCCCTACTATTATCATATTACTGTCAATTTCTCTCTTTTTGTCTGTTAATATTTGCTTATATATTTAGGTGCTCCTATTGTGGGCACATAAATATTTATAAGTGTTATCTCTTCTTGTGGTTTGATCCAATCATTATATAATGCCATTCTCTGTCAATTTTTACAGCCTTTGTCTAAAGTATATTTTGTCTGATATAATTATTGTTATCCCAACTTTCTTTTCCTTTCCATTCCCATCCCTCATTCCTTCTGTGTGTGTCTTTGGATCTGAAGTGAGTCTCTTATAGGCAGCATATTTTTTATCCATTTAGCCACCTTATGTCTTTTGACTGCATTACATAACAACCTGTGTAATGTAGCAGTCTATTTTAAGTTGGTGGTCATTTAGGGGCACCTGGGTGGCTCCGTCAGTTGAGCATCCAACTTCGGCTCAGGCCATGATCTCATGGTTCATGAGTTTGAGCGCCGCATCGGGCTCTGTGCTGACAGCTCAGAGCCTGGAGCTGGCTTAGGATTCTGTGTTTCCTTCTCTCTCTGTGCCTCCCCCACTCATATTCTGTGTGTGTCTTTCTCTTTCTCAAAAATGAATATGAAAAAAAATGTTTAATTTGGTGGTCATTTATGTTCAGACACATTCCGAAAACATTACACTTTTAGTGTTTTGATGTCATAATTTACATGTTTTTATTTAATGTATTTCTTATCTAATTAATGTAGATGTATTGGCTTTTACTACTTTTGTCTCTTAACTCTCATACTAGTTTTATAAGTGTTGATCCACTACCTTTTCTATATGTTTGCCTCTACCAGTTAGAATTTTTTCTTTCATTTATTTTCTTGTGTCCAGTTATGGCCTTTTCTTTCCATTTAAAGAAATCCCTTTAATGTTTCTTGTAAAGCACATTTGGTGGTGATGAAATCCTTTAGCTTTTGTTTGTCTGAGAAATTTTCTATCTCCCTTTCAATTCTGAATGATAATCTTGCTGGGTAGAATTTCCTTGGTTATAAGGTTTTTTCCTTTAAGTACTTGGGATATACTGTCCCACTTTCTTCTAGCTTGCAAAGTTTCTGCTGGAAAATCAGCTTCCCTTATATATAAGTTTCCCTTATATATAACTATTTGCTTTTCTTTTACTGCTTCTAAGATTCTCTCTTCATCTTTACTTTCTGACATTTTAGTTGCAGCGTGTGTCTTGGTGTGGATCTCTGCATTCATCTTGTGTGGCAGTCTCTGTGATTCCTGGTAGTTGTCTTTAAACTATCCTCATTTTTAAAGA